AACTACGACTATAGAACTATAGATTGTGTCGATGATGATACATTGTAAATATTTCTGAAAAATTGGTGGACTATTGTGATTATAAGAATAACTGAAGATAAATTCTGATACAGGTCAAGTCCCAATATAGATAGTGCAGCCAAATGTGATAGTAATAATATGTATATGTGTAATATTACATATACATATTATAAGATGATCTTATCAATAAAGATTTTTGTATATAAATATTAGAAAGATTAAGATTTCTCATAAATTTCAATTTTCGTAAATCAATTTTTAATTTAACTTTTTCTTTTCATTATTAATGTTTAATTATTGAAGTTCATATAAAATTTTACCAAACCATTTCTCATATTTAATTCTAAAAATAATTTCTGAAAGTGAACATTAAAGGTACAAAACCTGTGATGAATTTCGCTAGACATCTCAAATTAAGTTCTGCAAATAAAATAATTTTGATTTTATAAAGCTGCGGTCAAAGACCGCAAAAAACAGTACCAACTTCATTGAAAATATAACCTTATAAAAAGCCATGCCACTGCCATTATGGAAACCACAAATGTAAGTTCACTTTTTGATAAAATACAATATATATTGTGATTCGTTCGTATCTGTGAGATTAATTTTGGTTTATGCTATCATTTTACTTTTATTTCTACAATTGCGGTTGGAGCAGTCGACGATCGGTAACAATATTGACAGCACAAGTAGCAAAGAGTCTGCAACATGCCACTCGTTCCGCATAAGATCGCAGACACCACAAAGCGCACCACAACTGCTTGGTTTGCTGCTGGTATGCGGCGCTTTTTTGCTGCAACATGCAACATGTAATGTGCAATTACTTTTCTTGAGCTACTGTTTCATGGCCAAGTTAACAGGCGCACAGTCACTGGGATTAGTAACGTGCAACAGTGAACAACTTTAGATACTGAGATACTGCAACTACTGGCTGCAGTAAGCGAAATCGAAACATCAGCATAATTATGAATAGTCAGCGGTAGCAGCACCATATAAAAGATGCAAGTTCAGCTCACTGAGAAATAAAGCGGCGCTTAGTAACTTGAATATTTATGGAGTGCATGCAGTATGTATTATGTATAGATATGTACATAGGTATGTACATAAGTAAATGAATGTTCTTCGAATTTGTGTTTTTATATAAGGCAAAGTATAGTTAATAGTTGCACTTAAGCGTATTCTGCAACTCATCATAGCCGATCAGTCAGTTGATTACAGTATCTACGAGTAAATGTGGCAAGAACAAGTGGCTTAACGGTAGCCTTGAATTGTGTTGCCGCTGTGTAAATAAATTGCCGTAAAAGAAAATAGAAAATTTTTCAAAGGAAAATAATTTTAGTCTGAAAACTGCTACGTAATTCAGTAGATACTGGTTAAATCACTTATATCATGTGAGAGTCTTATCTATCTATCTTTTTTTCATATGCACACAACCAGAATATGGATTTAAGCACATGCTAACATATATGCCTGTGTGAATTTGTCGGAAAAATTGTTAAAATATTAGAAAATAAACCGCAGCAGTCCATGCAGGCATTTCCATTTATTCTTTATAGATTTTCACCGGAAATATTAATTTTTATTGTATAATACGAGTATCCTCAAGCAATGTTTATTCAATGGAAATTTTTTCTATACTTCCAGTTTTAAATTATTAATATTTTTTATTTTTTTGGGTTTAATTTTGAATACAAATACTTAGGACCATATCGTCTGCCTGCTTTTTTCTCTGAGCCGATGTGTCTTTTATTGCCAATTAACAATTGCACGACTGCCCAGGCATAGATTGAGCTTTCCGTCATGCGCAGCGTGCATCAGCCTTGTAATTGACGTGCCCAGTGATCAGCGCTGACATCATCTGATGACGAGACTAAACACAAATCATTTTTTCCAGTTAATGTCGTGAAAATTGGCGGTTAAACTTCTATATTTTGTGCTATGCATAGCAATATTGTTAATGTTGATGATCGTAGACGTTATAATGATGGGTCATAAATTGAGTAAAATAAAGAAATTAAAAAATAAAAAATTGCGGTATAAAATTGCTATAAAATGATGAGTAGAAATCAAATATCTTCTCTCTGGTAATATTTTCAAGGTCATTGATATAATAATCTTTGCGGAAACATGTTTCTTCTTTGAATAATTTAGGTAAATCTAAAAATAAGTACAATGCAGACAGTATTAGTAGGGATATTCTGACTTTACTGAAGATAAATCAATGACTTCGTAATTGGTTTGAAAATAAACTTGGTAGTTGTAGATCCGTCTCAAAATCGACAAAGAAATAGCAGTTGAAAGACAACTGCTAAAGTCGTTTAACTTATATATAAAATATGAAAAAAAAAGTTTAAAATATGTGGACTGTTAGTGAAACTAAAGGGTATATATATACGATACTTAATACGAATACGATACTTAATTTCAAAATAGATTAATGAAATAAGCTTCTTTCATTTCAATGTTATATCCACAGAAGTAACAAATTATGGACTAACAGGAATTGATTGATAGAGTTAGATTAAATTAATGAAATAAACTTTTTTCATTTCAAAGTGAATATAAGAACTAACAAAGAACTAACAGGGATTGATTGATAGAGTTAGATTGAATTGACAGTCTTGTGCACCAAAATTAACTGAGGTCATTATTTGAAAATTGTGATAATTGTATCATCACAGATGAGACATTTACTGTAAGCTAGATTGGAAGTACTACCTTAAACGCATCCTAAAGATCTAATGTGCGAACAGCGTCTCGTCGTGATTCCTCGATTTGAAGTTGAAAAGAAGCAATCACACAAGTCTGTAAACTAGGCATTACTTAGAATTTAAAAAGATTACAGTTCTATCAAGTCAGTTAGAAATGAAGCATCAAGGATATCCATCCAATAGTCTTTTATGAATTGATGGGCACTAACACATGAGTTGAAGTACAGTTTCCTCCTCATGCAGATGGTCACAACCCTGACAAAAGTTGTTAGATGGTAGACTGAGACTGTCTTTTTAACACGTAGTGACTTGTTAATGCCAAAACCGAAATACTGAGTCGGTTCTGCTTTAGGTGGAACAACTGACTGATGCAAACTTTATCCAATTTGGAGCAGGAGTGTTTTAATCTCAATAAATAAATATATACTATACATATTAACGTTCAAGAATAGTGTGTGTTTTATACAGTTATAAACGACGCATTTAATACGCAAAAAGAAATATTTTAACAATAATTACTTTATAAATATTAATAATCTATAATGTGTGTTAATAATATTTACGAATTGCCAAACATATTCATATCAACAATTATTTGCTATCATAATTATTAATGCAGCCTAAACTTTTTGTCCTAATCCAGTAATTAAACATATAAGCAGAGTGGGTTTAGACTGCAAACTTATGGATATGCCATAAAGTTAATTAATGCAATTAAGTTATTATGAATACTTACACTAGTGAACATACTAAAAAGGTTAGCAGGGTTCAATTAAACAAGAAAAAAATGTTAGTAATTACAATTTCAAAGGCTGATTAAAATTATTGAAAAATTGAAACTTTAGCATTTTATAAGGATCGTGTAAGGAAATAAGGAGTTATAAGTCACTGTTTCATATTTTATTTTAAAATTATTTTATTTAAAGTGCGCTCTAGAATGCTCTAGAAAATTGTTATTATTATTAATTTTTTCATTGTTGACTAATCTAAAATTTGCTGAATTATTTTGTGTTTTCTGCAGACCGGCAGCACAAAGTCAAAAGCGTTTATTTAGTCTTAGTCAAGCAGTTAACATCAGCAATGCCAGTTTGGCAACGGCGTTATTTAAGGAATTTGCTCGTTTCGGTATTTACCTCTTACACAGTATGTATTGGGGCAACATCATATTTCTATGACAGCAAAAATAATGACTACAGACGAAACTATTTAACGCGAGGACTCGCACTTACGGTTAATATCGTAACCGTAGTGCTACTGCCAATTGTCCTGTGGGATAGTTTACAGATGTTAGACGCTCAGTTTTGGACGCCTTTGTTGACTGCTACAGGTAAGGTTGGTGCTGTTGTATATGGATTGCATATTATTTGTGCTGCCATGCATCGTTATTGGAGAGATCGTGCGGAGTATGAAATATTTCTGGATGTTAAGTACATACATCAACAATATTTGAAATACTTCCCTTTGAGAAGGAGTGTGCGCCAACGATTTTACAATTTGCTACTGTGGCGATGTATCTTCGCTATTTATGGATTTTTTACATCTGCGATTTGCACTAATTTATTACTAAGCAAGCGTTCATTCTACACAATATTGTTAAACTTTATTTTTAATAATGTGGATAATATTCTCTATACCACATTGTTTGCGTACTTTTTTGGTATGTGGTATATATGCCGTGCTTTGTGTGTCATCAACTCGCAGTTGTTGCAATGTTGGCAAGAATTGAAGCTTCTGTGTTCTATTGAAAGGAGATACCTTGAGCAGCAATTTGTTCTGAAGTTAAGTGATAAAGTACAACAGTTGCTGCGCATACATTGGGAGTTACTACGTTTAGTCAAAAGGTTACACAAATTGTATTCCTTTTACTTGCTGGCCACACGTTTCACCTGTTCTGTTTGGTCTATAATTTTTGGTTTCACTGGAATTGTATTTATGATGAAGAATGGAGATGTCTCCATTTGGTGCAGTGGTTTTCTATTATTTTCGATTATCATAAGTTTATCAACGAACTTATATTACACGGATTTAGTAGCCAGTCTAATAGTAGAAGCACAACAAGATACTGCCGATATTTTACGAGGCATAAGTGAGCTTCCTCTAAATTGTCAAAATTTTTATAAAACGGTAATAGATTTCTTACAGTTTCAATTCAGTATTTTGTCAATAATTATTATATTTTTTACAGTGTGAGTTATTTGGCTTGCAAGTCTGCAGCTTTCGTTTGGAAGTAGATCTATGTGGTCTCTTTTTTTTGAACAAGGAACTTACCTTCAGTGGCATTATAGCAATTATTTGTTATATTATAGTCTTAATACAGTTCTATTTATCATTGGGAGAAAATAATCTGAAAAAATAAAAAAAAATTTATTTTTTAAGATTTTTTTTAATTTAATATATAATATATAAATGTACAAAATGTCTGCTTAATAAACTTAAATATAGTTTGTATATATTAATAAAACCTTATATGAATCCAGAATTTAACAATAAAATAACAGCAGTTAATTTATGCTTTTTTATTTATTTTAATTCCTTCAAAAAAAATTACCAACGGATCTCAAATAGTTAAAAGATCTTTCTGATCTCTATGATTTAAAGTTGGAGTGTAAAAGTATAAAAACAATAGACCTTATATATTTAATGTCATTAATAAGTTTTGGTGCTAATGAAATATAATAAAGTAGTTAAAGTACAATTTCAATTATTTTTCTAATCAAATCTTAATAATTGTTTAATAATATACAACTTTTCATTATTTGAGCTCAAGTTTACTTTAAGCGAAAGGCCGTCACACTACAATCTAAGCACCTCTTATTAGAGATTTTTCTAACTTACCTATATAGTAAGTACATTTCCACGATTGACGCGTTAAATTTAATATTAAATCAAATTACAATTGCAAAATTAAGTGTTACTACCAGAGATAGCAATATTTACTCACTGCCATAGAGTGAAAAGCCATATCCTATAATAATTATTGCGTTATTATGATACAATTACAACACAATTCTTCTACAACTAAATTTGAATGCATTTATAATTGGGCCGAAATCCCGGCGGTACTGCATTACCGGGCCAACCCGCGGCAGAGGTGGAGCAAGCCCCTAAACACTCCGCCTAATTCCAAAAATCAGTTTAACATTTGTTGTCCTCCGATGGAGGATCTATCAGATGTTAAGCTGATAAGAACAGATACTACACTTTGATCTTAGCCATAAGGCCGAGAAGCGATAACTATTTACTCAAATTTACAAGATGTCATACAAAAATATTTCATACCCGCTGAGAATTATAAAATTAAATTGTGTATCATATTGTAAACTACAGAACAAACAGTTGTAGAAAAACAACCACCACTATTTATTGAAGATATACTCAATACGTTATTTTATATGTACTGCAGTTATGTATATATATTTTTAAAATACTAAAATATATGGATATATAAAATATATTACGGAGAAATCTTAAATCTATCTTAAATATGTACAAATCTTATAATATGTAATTATAATGTACATATGTACATTAGGGTGCCATTAATTTTCGAAAGTCGGAAAATTGCCCGCGGCACCCCCCAAATCGGTTCATTTTGCTAAAAAAATAATCTGTGTGAAATTTTAGTTCAATTGGATAAGTGGAAATGGTGCCCCAAGAGCTTCAAAGATTGGAAAATAACGATTTTTTCCATAAAATTCATCTTTGATTGCTTATATCTCCGACATATTTAATTTTACATAAAAACTGTCTTCCTAAAAGTTATAGATCTATTAAAAATAAACAATTCACTCATACAAAGTTTTTCTGTATTTGACAGTTTTTATGTAAAATTAAATATATCGGAGATATAAGCAATCAAAGATGAACTTTATGGAAAAAATCATTATTTTCCAATCTTTGAGGCTCTTGGGGCACCATTTCCATTTATCCAATTGAACTAAAATTTTACACAGATTATTTTTTTAGTAAAATGAACCGATCTGGGGGGTGCCGTCATCCGATTTTAAAAAAAAATAATTGCCCATATACCTTAATGGCACCCTAATGTACATACATATTATATATGTGAATGGATATTTTTGTAAGTCGTAATTGCTTAAATATTATTTTAATTATTGTTTTTATTTTATTTATTTAACTATTTATTTGTTGAAATTGAATTTAAAATCATTTAATCCTATTATATGTATATAAATAAAGTATAAATTAAATTAAGTATAAATTAATATATGTATAATAAATTTTCTTTATATGTACATATATAAATTTGACTTTACTTCTATGCGCATTGATACATATGTATTATAACTACAATGAGAATATACTATATACATATATTCATAACTACAATAATAAGCTGACAGTTTCATTCTGAATATAACAATATATGAATATATATATAAATTTCAATATATAAATTCGGCTATAGTATAAATATAGACTTACGAAATTAATTTGATATCAGTTACGAAATATAGTCAATGACTTGCAACTGTATGCATGACAACAGATATAAAAACATTATCTTAAGACCTATTAATCTTAAGGCTGGTTAGTGAAGTACGATCAGTAATCAGCAACGGCAATAGCTGAGATTTTACCCAAGCTAAACTTGATTGTCCAGGCAGACTATTACATACCGTGCGTTGATAGAGTGAAAATTAAGCTAATCGGAAATACGATTCAGGTTGTATTATCTCACAATCATATAACTCTCTCTAACAGACTCTCGCCTGGGGAAAAAAAATATCTATCCGAATAGATTAAATACAATAGGGCATAGAATACAGTATGAGGAATACCTGAAGAAGCCGACAGGAACTTGAATGGTTCTACTGAACAATAACTTAATAATAAATCAATCCATCAAACCAGGTGGTGTCAAAAGCTTTTTCAATGTCAAGTCACATGGAACTGTGTGTGGTATAGGCTTATGTAAATTTCATTTTATAGGTGGTTCAGAGATTGCGGTTTTCAGACGAGGTTTCATATAGCTTACTGACCGAATTTATAAGGTTGAAACAGTGCAACAACTGAGACGGTTAGGTTTAGATCTGCTTTTCTTGATGCCAGCTATCTTTCAAGGTTGAGGAAAGCCGCCCATATTGTACAACATTTATCAAAATGTTCATTTTTGGAATTATGCCAGATTTAGGAGGTTATTTAGAACTACAATATCAGGAAATAGTAGGTCATGCCAGGTCTACAATAAATAATATAAAATGTTATATTATTATTAGACTATTTGAAATGCTTTTGACAGGTGTAAGACCAACCACAAAAAAAATATTTTCTATACACTACTTTTATTTTATATTACATCATGTTAATAGATCGTTTAATCCTAATTATACCTAACATAAGCTCGTCTATTTAAGTTTACGAGCATTAATTTTGTGATAAATATTTTTGAGGCTCTTTATTTATATTTCTAGAAAATTTTGTAGCTACATAAAGTACAGATTATTAGGAACTATTCGAAGAATTTGTATTAATGAACAAATCAATGAAAATAGAATTTTTATTTGATAGTATAAAGTTTTATTTATACTGTGGCTATTTGCCAAAGAAGTTTCCTCTCCAGTTTGAGAATTTATTACTACTCCGATGACATTACATTACAAATTACTTGATTGGCAACAAAGATGAAAGCTGAATCCAAATGCTTTGTCTAATGAGCCGCATGATTAAGGTGTCGATGTACAATTGTGAATGTAGCTATTCTCGTACTCCATAGAAGGACACTAAATACCGGCACATTGCAGATGTAATATGAATTCATTATTTCAGGTGACAATGGTGTCGACGAGTGAAGGAAGGAAGGAATGTGCGCACTGCAATAATCGTTATAAGTTATAAAATAGTAGTCGCCACTTCTGTTATAGATTTTCTGTGTGTTCGGTTTGCTGGTCTACAGGAAAGCTTAACTATTTTGATTTATATTTAATGGAGTACATTAAGCTACAATGCCCTATGCAATCCCGCAAATATTGAATATTTATGCGTATGCGTGTCTTGTGTTAACGAGAGTCGGTGAGAATAAGATTTGACGTGAACCATTAATTGCATCATTAGCTTAGATAATGACCGCACAGACTTCAACTTAATTAAGCGTATCAATTTGTTAGACCTCACCAAAAAGACAGAACGTAAAAAACTATACCGCAAAGTCAATTCTTACCAATGAGAAAAAGCTACTCGTATAGTCAGTACTTGCATACAACAAAGCAAAATAGAATGAAATGAGTTGCAAGCTCGTGGACGTCTATTGCGGCTTAGTCGAGTCTATTCCTTTCTTTGTTTTTTGTCTCAGTGCGACTATAAATGCGCACCAACTCCACACAAATTGTGTGCATAATTCATAATTAACCCAAGTATGACACTCTGACCATAAATAGTCTTGCGTCGGTTTGTGCTCGCATTTGATGGGTTGTGCCATGTGAAATGATGTGATAGTTGTTTGTCGCATCGGATTCCATGTTGCCAATCTTGTACTGATATTGTTGGTCTTTGGTTGCTTGGCTGTTTGGTTGTTTGGTTGTTTGGTTGTATGTTAGTTTACTGGTTGCTTGCAGTTATTACATTTTGCTATTTAATGTTGGAAGTTCTTCCGCAACGCAGTGCTTTTGTCTGCATTTGTCAATGTTGGCTACAGAGTTACGGCCATTCAGTTCAGTTACTTCTTCTCCGACTGCGGCTGCAGTCATTCCCGTTTTATTTGCTTTTGTTGTTCCGTTCATGTTCCAAGCTCAGCATGTTGCGTGGTATTTCTTAATTGTTTGCAGTTTGTTGGTTTTGCTGATTGTTTGCTGGGTTGTTTGTACGTCGCTTTTGTGTTTGTGCAATAAATATCAAGAAATATATAGTCAGTTAATTCAGTCTGCAATATTTGCGGTTTTCAATTCATTTTCTTTATTGGTTTCTTTTACACAAATTTTTTCCATCATTTAATTATTTAATTCCTCACCGTATTTTATGAGTACAAGTCTTGCAGTGGTAGGTAGCACTGCCAACACTATTTGAGAGCGGTGCAATGAAAACTGACCACATCCGTTTCTTTCATTCAAAATTCTTTTGTTTCTGTGTAATGAATTCATATGTGTCCCCAATTTCTCGGAATAATTCTCTTAAATGTCTACACTGCACCCATAGTTGTGGGGTAAGATGACGAGTTGTGGCTTTAGATGGCTCAAATCGCGTTAATTGAATTAATTTCTTAAGAGATTTCATTGCGTTACACAAAGCGGTTTATAAGCGATTAAAGTCAAGGTATCAATCCAGTGCTTGCCTTTGCCGTAATATTTGTCATGAAAATTAAGCATGTGAGCAAAATTTGGATCAATTAA